GATTGAGTTTGGAAATTTTAGCATGTTATTATAGAGTATTGAATCTAATGTTCTGCTGATATAGTATGGTGAAGGGAAATACAAAACTGACAGTTTTAACACAGCTTAAATGATGCTCACACTTATGAAAAAGACAAACAAATAAAAAGAAAAACTTGAGAGGACTATAAATATAAGAAGTGCAATAACAATAAAGGTTGATGTTGTAAGGGTGGAGGAAATGGTTTATTTAATAGTGCAAAGAAGGTTAGTTAATTCATGCCTAACATTATTTTCATCACATAAAGTATGTGCCGTGAAATATGGTATAGTGGAATTTTTATACTTAGACGTACGTGCATAAGGTCTTCCTGAAAAGACTTCTTGTTTTACCTGAGGAGACACAAGGTTGGAGCTGGGGGTGCTGGTATGGATGCTCACAGTCTGACAAAATTCCTTTAGCAAATTTGTTGCATGACATCAAGTACCTATCAGTGACAATGTCAAGGATATCGCCCTATCGTCCTACTGACAGTCTTCAGACATCTAGAGAGATATACAACCGAACCATAAGGCATGTCGGCGCCCATATTCCTTGAAAACCCAATTATCTACAATCTGATCCAGTCAGCATAGATAAATAAGTTGACCGTTGAAAGTTATATGGCTAAGAATAAATTGAATGGACAAACTTATTTGATCTCTTACAGCATCAACAATTTATTCAGAACAAAATAATTACAGTGAACAATTGTGGTTTCAATAAATTCTTCTTCGTCAGGCTCTACAATTATAACTAACCCTTACAAATCAAAACTATAGAAAAATAATCTGATGCTCGCTAGTGACTTGCTATAGGATGGAGTTTCCTGGAGTTCCAGCGAGAAGTCGTGACCAGTGAGGTCCAATTAGATGTCACGTGTGTGGATGGATATCCCACCAACGACAATGGTTGGGGTTGCGCTAAATCACGAAATGGTAGAAGCTAGAATTCAAGGATTGGCCATTGGATTGGGTCCCAGTGGCTGAATGGTATAGGAGCTAGCTTGCCTTGTAACCGGAAGGTCCTGGGTTCGAACCCAGGTGGTGGATGCGTACAGCCGATGATTCTCAAACTAGGATGAAACAGCAGCTGTCCTTAGTTTTCAATGCTTCTCTAACTTATATCAATCCATGATCAACTCGTAAAAACATAACTAACCCTTACAAACCAAACTGTAGAAAAATATAAATCCATTAATTTAAGCATACAATAGCCAGTAAAGGCAAATTAGAATCATATCAGAAATGTGTATTGTGGAAAAAGTATAAGATGGGATGGAACAATAGTCAGTTAGTTTTTTAATATGCATGGTCAGTGAGAACATGAGATAAAATGACATGAAATAATTTAATTCAGTGTGCATATATATAAATAAATATAGTCAACAGAAAAATACAGGTTCCGAGAGTGAGTGTAATCAGCGTGTGTGAGACAATATGAAAATAAACCAACGAATAGGGCGGTCTAGACATAAGTTCAAGGTTGAAAATAACGCCATTAAGAATGATTGTCAAATAATAACGATGATATGGTGTAAAATTAAAATTAAATGTACTATTGGTGAATGATTGTCAAATAATAATAATGAGTATAATGAAGTGGAATGAACAGGATTTTGTAAATACGATAGCAAGTTAGAAAAGAACTACTTAAACCTAAGGTAATAAAATCATGAGAAAGGTCATGAAATCATAAAAAGTCGAAAATGAACATTTGTCAATGAAACAAAGGAATAGAAAAAGAAGAAGAAAAGAGAATTGTGATAGGAATTTAAAGTGCTAATGTTTATAGAGGATTTGTTGGCTTATTGTAGGCCAAGGTAAACATAGAGGTTGAACATACTTCTTCGGTATGCAAAGAGATAGTCTTCTGGTGTTAATTGCAACTGCTTCAGCTACTGATAGAAGACGTAGTCGAGCTCCTCTAGATAGATTACCAGGAACGCGGTGAATAACTGAGAACGCCTGGTCAAGTTTCATCGAGTGTCCAAGTGGGCTAAGACTGCACTATCTACCAATGGTTACCTTTTACTCAACTATACAGATACATGTTCACGCGCGCGCATGGATAAAGCCCTCGAGTACGGCCAATGTAACTAGCTCAACATGAACAGTTGAATTCATAGATACACGTTGATGAGGCCATCTTTGGTAATTTATCCTTGACTCGCTGTGTGAGTACTGGTTTAGTTGAGTACCAGTTTAGCTGCAGGATATATTCTTTCTACTGCTCTATTAAGTCGACATTTTAAAATGTCAGCTGCAATTTCCCCTTTGTTACTTAAGATACAAAGGTTTCTTGTCTACGGTATCCATCTTTATCCTATCTCTAGGCATTGACGTATACTTTTTTAGGAAGTTCCCTGGGTATCCATTTTCTTGTAGTGTAAGTGTCAGTTTACACAATTCCTCCTTAATGCATTCCTCTGAGCATATGCTTTTTATTCTATAGCTAAGAAGCTTAAATAAGTTTCTTTTGTATTGAATCGGTGTAAAGCTATGAAAATGGGTGTACTGACCCGTCCAAGTTTTCTTTCTAAATAATTTCCTTTGTAGATATCCATCTGTCTTCATGGTAAGGAGGACATCTAGGAAAGGTATACTGTTATTGTCTTCTTCCTCACCTGCAAAGTGAACAGCTGGTTGAACACTATTAACAGCATTCAGAAGCTCTTGTTTATTAAGATTTCTATCACAAACGATGAAGATATCATCTACGTGTCGACAATAATAGTCGAACCCTTTAGTCGTGTCTTTGAGTGGGCTATTTTAGAGGTGATCCCATGGAAACACCATCAACTTGTCTATAAAAGCCATTGTTGAACATAAACTGAACATTCACAGTGTATTTCAATAATAATAATAATAATGCCTTGACTTTTTCCGATGGGATTCCTACATCTATCTTTCGTCTATCAGTTGGTCACAGAAGTAGGCGACTGTTTCGGGTAATGGACGTTGGTGAATAATGATGCTACATCCAGTGACATTATTTTCTTTCCTTTTACATTCAGGCTTTTGGTAGTTTCTACAAAGCTACATATACGTCTTCTACACTGAATTTCACTAATTCGCGATGTAACGGTATCAATAATTACCCATTAGATTCATGCCTGAATTCTGGGTGATAATTTAATCACTATAATTTCTGTCATTACAGAAATTAATTACATCTATATGTGCTGTAGTTTTGCAGAGAAATTTAGGTTAAGTAAGAGGCTATTTGTCGACTACCGGAGAAGTTAAACTTTAAGCACCATTAACTACCAATGAAGTGCGAGCAAACCAACGACCTTGAATGGACCAATGGCTTTCTTCACGTAAATCCAAGCTTTTATTCCGCTTAATTCCAATGAAATGCCTTCTGTGACAGACTTTCATCTGAAAGTTGTGCAGATAAACTTTCCCACTACTACTTAGATGTGGGAATGATTGGAAAGCAAAGAATTTGTGCCTGTGGAGGTATCATGAGTATAAAAAGCTTCATAGATGGGTTGATGGACATATCCACCCGTGTGGGATTTGTTTGTGATGAGTTTGTGTGCCGAAGGTAGTCTGATGATTCTACTTTTTGTGGAAACATTTTTGTTTGCTAGATCCAATTTGTCATTAACCCAGATTTTCTATATTTGTAATTACTGAGTCTTGAAAAACTCTATGAGAACTAAAGCTGCTAAAACGGAGAACAGTCTCGTTTCAGCTGTTCAGTGGTACCAGCACTCTGGAGATATTGCATCTTGGAAGATGGAGACAGTTACTTCTTTATTGGGAGGAGAAATTGTCGATATACATGTAGATGAAAGAGAAATATAACCATGGTTGTGAAAAGGCGAATAACGTTTAGGTGATTGGATTATACAACACCCCTTTGTCGAAAGGATTCGTCAAAATAATATCAGACAGAAAGTCAACTACTTTAATACTCATCGTCATTGGACTTGATGGAACCAGGATCTATAATACACACAGATAAATGGAAAGGATATAATTCACTGTCATCCCTAGGATACATGTTCATCATAAAGTCAATCACTGTGGTGATTTTGTGGACCCCATAACAGGCACCCACACCATTTCTATCGAAAGATTTTAGGGAAGACTGCAGAATAGGATTAGAGGTATTAAGGGATCTCATAGGGATGTTATTTAAAGCCATATTGATCAATACTTGTATAGAATGTGGTTTAACTTCTCTATTCAGACTTCTATGGAAAACTGTGATGGAGAGGGGGGGGCATTTTTGTCACACTTCAGAGAAAGGTATTCTGTGTAACATTTTTATACCCTTTTATACATTATTTTCGCAAATATGTCCACTTTATACATAAAAACCACCTTTTTATGTGATTGGTGCATTCAAGGTCATTCGCTGATTGGTAGTTACCACTAGTGATTAAAGTTTAACTTAACTGATAGAAATTTCATACATTTATTCCCCTTAATGAATTTGAATAATAATAATAGTAATAATGACTTTGACCTGTAAGTAGCTGATGATAAGCCAACGAAACAAATGATAGTATCATTTTATTCTCCAGAAACTGTTGTTCTTGCTTTATTCAAATTAACTGATAGAATTCATCTGCACCAAAGAAAGGACTAGACACATCATGCTAGTTACTACTGTTCGATCAAAATACCCACTACAGTCCTACGGAGGTCATCACGAGCCCGAATAGCTCAGTGGTAACGTCTCTCTCTCTCTGACTGCAGCAATCACTGGGTGATGCGGGTACGAATTTCAAAAAGGATGTGAGTTCCTTCAAGGTTGTAAATAAGAATTGCTGACGAGTGCTGACAAGCACGAAACCCAGGTCAAGCAAGGCTTCCAGCCAATTGCCTCAACCATCTAATATCATCAAAGTTTAACTTTGTTTATCTTGTTAAATGTTGTGTCACATGGATGTATTTACGTCAATGTTTTTATGAGTATACTTGCAGAATATAAACAACAATTACTCTTAAATTTCTTTTTATAGAAATGCCTACAGAAATAATCGAAGAAATGGTAACTACTGAAAGACTAGACAGCATATCTTCATCATCCGAAGACGACGATGAATTTCATCATCACACGCCAATTATTGCTGGTTTATTAGGCTTTGTGCTATCTGTGGAATTATTTCCGCTGGAATGACATTGGTCAATAGATCAAAGAAACAAAAACATCCAAATTTTGGTAGTGTATGTAACAGCATACTATTTGAGTCTGGAACTTCATTGATAACAGCTTTAGAGTCGTCTGGATCACTGTCCAATTTGAAATCTTTACAAATCAATAATTGTAAATGTGAAACTATAAGTTATGCTGATGATATGAATAAAAAAGTTCAAGTTAAAGAGTCCACCTACAATGTCACAGTTAACACAACTTTCACCACTCCTGTATCAACTACAACAGTGATGACGACGACAACAACGCTGACGACAACCGATTCATTAAATTTAAATGATTCATTAAAACAAGAAGAGATTAAGCCTTTAAAAACTTCATCAGACTGTAGTTTTCTAAACTGTGCTAACCTGTGTTCAAATAGCGCGCCGAAATCACAAGACTCATTTAAACAAACAACGGAATTCAATGATGATGATGATATAGAGAAAGAAAAAGAAATGAATGATAATGAAGTTACTAAACATGATTTGGAGTCAACAACAAGTGGACTAGCTGAAATATTTGATCGAGCTACAAAACCTTTAGGTTATATACACAAATTAGATTCAAGTCCAGCTTGGAATCAAGGATCGAGTCAGAGTACAATACAGCACTTGAGAGAAACACAAAAGTTAAAATCAACTTATAATCCATATTTACATGAATATCCAACTAATCGTAGTTTAGGCCAATTACCGAATACTTTAGTTATCCCTGTAGATAAATTATCAAAGCAATATCATCATTCACCTATGACACTTCAACGCCCCATACATGAATCGTATCATAAATCTAAGGTTAGTCGTTCCGATCCATTTTCATTGAAAGAACAATCAGCATTTGTATGTAATACCGATGGGTCAAATATTGATGAGCACTTACAACTCGGTAAGTTGGTGATAATGACATAATCATCATTTTATTGATGTGTATTTTCACATTTTCTACTGTTTTTCGGTAGGTTTTTAAGCCTTTTGTGACTTTTCTATCGATCTATATCACTCGGGACAAATTTGTACCAAACCCAGTTAGTTTGTTAATTTTTTTAATTATAGCTTGACTCCACACAGCATTTTGGTACAAGGGTAACAACAGAATACAAGGGCCAGGCAACAGATTCTTCATTTAGGAAATCAACACATATTTATAGATTTTCATGTACATTATTATAGATTATTGTTAGCAGACAAAGGCAGTCTTCTGATTGGTTGTTTCTCACTGAAAGTTAATCTTTCATCTCTTTGCAGCTGTTTCTTGAATGTCAGATCATCTATATGCTAACTGTATCCGCCTACGCAAAGTGTGTTGTGATTGTTTGTTGAATCAGTCTTTGTTCATATTTTTCTCACGACCAATATTGGGGACGTAAACATTGACGTAAATTAATGTCTACCAATTCGGTTAGTGAATAGCTTTCACCATACAAGTATGGAATTTTCAGCATGTGATATGGGTAGCCCAAATTTAGCAGGCCAACCATTGATATCAGGTATGCATGCGTCAGCCGGGGATTGAACCCCGGACTGTGTATGGTTGGAGAGCGTGCTAACCTCTGTGCCACCGTCGCACTTAGTCCATATTCATCTGAAGTCATTATGCTGGAGTAGGTTTAAATGTATTAAGAGCACTATTTTCCCAGCTGTCCACAAATATATCTGCTACGATAGGGGATATTGGTGATCCATCCCATTGCTACACCTTCTGTTTGTCTATATATTTTACCTTGGAATTTAAAAATAGTAGATGCAAGGTACAACTGAATTTCCTAAAATAACTTCTTCAATGGGCAGCTTTGTCCTGTGAATGAGTTCAGGATCTGCATATAAACACATATAAACTCACTAGTAAAGGGAATAAAATTCGCATTTGAATCGGAAAATAAACAAGAAGAATTAGTTATGTTAGATTGTAAAATAAAACGAATAGAAGGTAAACTACACACTAGTGTGTACAGAAAACTAACTCATTCTAATAGATACTTAGACTTTAATTCATCTCATCCGTTAACTGTTAAGACAGGCTTAGTGAAGTGTTTAACAAACCGAGCAGTAGCACTAAGTAGCACAAGAAAAACCTAAGTGATAAAATGAAACAGACAGGAGAAGCGTTAATGTCAAATAACTAACTATCCTATAAAATTCATTAGGAAGATAAGTAAAGGCCAAAAGTAAAATAAAGATAATTGTTTTTATTTTATTTTTATTTACAGCTTGATTTCACACTGTATTTTTGGTACACGTATGGAATTTTCAGCATGGATATCGGTAGCCCGAATTTCGCAGACCGACAATTGATATCAAGTGTGCTTCGGTAGGGGGATCGATCCTCGCACCATGTACATGGTCGGCGAGAGTCCTAACCACTGTGCCACCGACGCAGTAATGATAACATACATAAGACAAAGTATAAGTCATCTACTGTTATACCATATAAGGAGGGATATCTGAGACTCTAAGTAGGATTCACAATAAACCAGGAATTAGGGTGGCATTCAAACCTACAAACTCACTCAGGGACAAGCTCTGTAGATTAAAGGACCCTGTTGACCCAATTAGACAAAATAATATAATTTACAAAATACCCTGCTATGATTGTGAGGTCAACTATGTAGGCCAAACAAGCAGATCAGAGGTAATCAGATTGTCGGAACATAAGAATTTAGCGGCTAAGGTAAGAATGGTTAACGCCGCGAAGATGAATAATTTAGAAAAAAGCTCAGCAATTGCAATGCATGCATTAATACACAACCACACAATAGGGTGCGTGAGACAGAGTTGAAATTCTAAGAGATTGATTACTGAATCCTGGTTCATTGAGTCTACATCCATCACGTGCAACAGAAGCGACTCAATGCAAATACCAGAAATATGGAAGATATTATTACTGCCAAATTAGAAGAGGATAGTAAATAATCTCAAAATTCTATTTCAATTCAAGCACATCATAAAATTCTAACAATTTACTTATGATGACTATAAAACCACTCGTCTTATTTCCCATCTGATTGTAATTCATCAATGACACTCATATTATCATTTCTGAATGTACATTATCCTATATTGATTTTATTCAAATGTCTAGTCAATTTCACTCATGTATATAGATGAAGGAAAACGTTGTGTGATTAGTGCCTTGATATGATTATGAGTAGCAATAAATTGTGCTCTAAACGTGGTCGTATCAGTAAATATTACAGGGTTCGAACTCAGGACTCTCTAGTTACAAGGCGACCAGTAGATCATTAAGCTAATGGAACCCGATGCAGTGGCCAGTCCATGAATCCTAACTTCTACCAATTCATAACATAGCGCGACCACTTCGCAATGTCTTCTTCGATGAGTTACTGCCTTGTAACTGGAAGGTCCTGGGTTCGAAACCTGTCGGCGGGTGCGTGCTGATGAAGAGCCCCAAACTATTCTGACGAACCAAGAACACCATTCAGGAACAATCATCTCCCGTTATTGGGATAAGCTGTCATCTATCTAGCTGGATAATGCTTTTTCTCATGTTTTTGGTAGAAATTCGTGAATCAGCAGGTTATAAATGTTTTAAAGACTCGCTAGAGTAAATGGTACTTTTAGAGGTGATATTTCACTAGATTCGAACAAACTGAAAAAGCGAAATTATATACTAACTAAAATTGATGGAAGCTGTTTCCGGTGGCGCAAGTTTTAAATTGGCCACTCCGAATTCGAATGGAAAACAGCGAGTTGGGGATGGATGGGAGGGTGACATGATGAGGGGGGAGATCGGATGAGCTGGAGGGAATGAAAGCTTGTGGAAACACTTGGATTGAGATAAAGAAGACTACACAGACAAGAGGGAAATGTCGACATGCTAGGGAAGTCCTATGTGCCACTCGAAACCCAAGAGGATAACAATAATGATAATACTTTTACTGTGCACCATTCAAGTTCACTTGTAGCTAGGTATTAGGAGACATCAGCTGATAGGTTATTAGTCGATTATGAGACTAAATGAGGCAGTCTTTGATTTGGTAGACTACTACTACTGTGGTGAGAGCTGGCTGCGAGCCGAAATTGGTAGACAGCAATTTACGTCAATGTTGTTTACTTCCCAAATCTTGGTCATGAGAAAAAAAGCAAGAACAAAGACTAACTCAACAACCAATCACAGCAGACTTAGCGTGTACGGATACGATTAGCAGGTATGTATCAACGGACTGTCTAAGAAACAGCAACAAGAGATGATACAATAACCTTCAGCGAGAAAAAAACCAATCAGAAGACGTTGCCGACCTGCTAACAATAAAGAATAATAATGTACATAAAAATCAGTAAACATCTTCTGATTTTCTGAATAAACGGTCTGTTTCCTGGCCCTTGTCTTCTGTCGTCACACTACTGATGTAATGGATCGTGATCCAAGGTAAAATGGAAAAAACTGTTAGCGGCTGAGTTGCCGACAAAAATATCAATGCACAATTAGTAGTCATTGGATAATCTAGTCTCCAATATGAATAATCTGTGGACTGCTGGTCCGAATCGTGCTGTCTACCCCTATTTTTACTTCCCACCTTCAGTAAGTTATTACAACAACAGCAACAACAACGCAAGTTTTGATTTTCAGAGATTTGATTTGATTGGTTGCAGGACTTCATCATAAGCTTACATCAATTAGAGAACCGTTGGAAAACCAGCACTCAAGTACTGGACAGCTGTTTCGTCAACCTAGTTTGGGACTCTTCAACAATATGCACCCATCCCAATGCCAGGGTTCGAACCCATGGCCTTCCGGTTGCAAGGCGAGCTGGCTTGTAGACCACTAAGCCACTGAGAATCGACTCCTTAATAGCCAGCTAATGAATTCCAACTTCTGCCAATTCACTGACGAAATAGCACGACTGGCACTAACCAATATCATCGCTGGTGAGTATTTATTCTCAGACCCGACCTGCTGTACCCTCCCCCTACTGGTCACAACTTCTCACTAGAACCCAGGCAATTGCCTACTTGAATAGGGTCAGTTGATGCTAGTGAGCATCAGATGTTACTTTTGCATGGATTTGACTGGTTACAGGATTTCATTATAAGCTGACTGACTGATGAAGCGTCCAGAACTAGGCTGAAGAAACGGCTGTCCATTAGCCCCAGGTATCTAAATGGTTCTCTCTAACCGATGTCAGTTCACGATCAAATCCTGTAAACAACAAAAATTGTCCATTGTGATTTTTAAAATTCTCTCCTGTTTATTTGTTCTTACTTAATCTTATTTATTCTCTTTTCATTTTAGATAATCTCAGGCGAAGTTTTTCAGTTAGACGTATTAAAGATACTACTAATACTAATACTACTATTAATCATAGTAACAATAACAATTCATACCATACACCGTATATCTCATATGCCTCATTAAAACAAAATACTCTACCGAGTGGATTGTTAGACTATCAATATTTTAATGATAAACATTGTACAAAATCATTTTATCAACCACGATACAGTCTCGAACAACAACAACAACAACAGCAACAGCAACAGCGACAACAACAGACATCTGAGACAAACATATTCTCCATACTGGATAGCGATTGTCGACAGAAACAGGCAAGATTACAACAACAAAAACGTAAACATTTTAAAGGCAGTGCACCGAAACGAGCGAAACATGAAAATAATCTTATGGTAAGATGATTCAATATTCTTTTTTAAAAACATTACCATTTTCATGTAATTTAGAATACCACATGAATTAGGAAAGAGAGGTCCCCGCTTTTAGTAACTCCACTTCATAGCTGTACACTCCTTTAGACAATTTCTGTATCCAATTGTAATTGATAACATTCACCAAAGGTTATTGCCTGTTAGTAAGCAAGTAAATCAAAGTGGTTAGAGGATTTCACCATGAGCTGACATCAGTTAGAGAACCATTGGAAATTTTCTATAATTTTGTTTTTAAGGGTTTTTTCCGAGTTTATCACGGATTGATATCAGTTAGAGAACCATTGAAAACCAGCACTGGAGTACTGGACAGCTGCTGTTTCATCCTAGTTTGGGAATCATTGGCTGTACGCATCCACCACCTGGGTTCGAACCCAGGACCTTCCGGTTACAAGGCAAACTAGCTCGTATGCCATTCAGCTATTGGGACCCGATTCAATGGCTCATGAATTCTAACTTCTACCAATTCGTGATTTAGCGCAACATAACTAACCCTTACAAATCAAAACTATAGAAAATTAATCTGAAGCTCGCTAGTGACTTGCTACAGGTTGGAGTTTCCTGGAGTTCCAGTGAGAAGTCGTGACCAGTGAGGTCCAATCAGATGTCACGTGTGTGGATGGATGTCCCACCAACGACAATGGTTGGGGTCGCGCTAAATCACAAATCGGTAGAAGTTAGAATTCATGGACTGGCTATGGAATCGGGTCCCAGTGGCTGAATGGTATACGAGCTAGCTTGCCTTGTAACCGGAAGGTCCTGGGTTCGAACCCAGGTGGTGGATGCGTACAGCCAATGATTCCCAAACTAGGATGAAACAGCAGCTGTCCAGTACTCCAGTGCTGGTTTTCAATGGTTCTCTAACTGATATCAATCCGTGATAAACTCGGAAAAAACCATTGGAAAAGCAGAACTCAAGTAGTGAACAGCTGTTTCGTTCTAGCTTGGGGCTCTTCGACAGTACACGCCCACCGCCCTGGTTACAAGGCTGGCTCGTAGACCATTCATCAGTCACTGGGGCCCGCCGTTCCATTGGCCAAGCCATGAATTCTAACTTCTGCCAATTCATGACATAGCACTACCACTTCTCAATGTCTTTGATGAGTCACTGCCTCACCTTCAGCTTGCTGCACCCTACTGGTCACGGCTTTCCACTAGAACCTCAGGTTAACTACCTACCTACCTGAATAGGGCCAATTGCTAGTGAGTATTAGATGTCAGCTCATGATGAAATCTTCCAACCAATCAAAGCAAATCCCTACAAAAATCAATACTTGAAAAACAAATCAAAGTGGATGAGTAATAACTATGTCTGGAAAATTGAAAATAATCTTACGTAACCAAGAGGGGTGACAACTAATCAGTCAACTGATGAATAATCGTTTGGAAACAGTTCATAAGGGGCAAGAGAACAAAAGATTAAGGATGAGTTGTGAAGACATAAAACGTACCGCTTACAGCTTATTCTACAGTTATTCAGGAAAAAGAAAACAGGAAAAATTAGTATTAAGGCCACGGCAGTAATTTTAAAAAAGTCTAGATGAAGAAATGTTTGTGAAGACAAAAGTTCAAGTTTCTCCTTAAGACTTCCTAAAGCCTTAGTTGCATGAGGAAGATGTAGGCGAAATCCTTTCAAACGACTTGGTTACACTTTATGAATGACTTTGAAAGCACTCTGTCTATGTTGATAACGATCTATGACCAGAAGTAGTGATATGTTATATAATGGAACTGTTGACTGTTCTACGTTCATGGGCTCGTCTATAGAATGAATGAATACGGCCTATGTACTTAGCTCCATGGGAGCAGGTGAAGTTTTAAATGCATATTGAAGCTTCCAACAGAGGAATCTTGTCTTTGTCGTTTTTGGTGACTAAGAGCATGTTCGGAGAAGGTACAGAGAAGTGTAGAGATGCAGCACAGAACAACATTCTTTGAGATGCTCTCGACAGACAGTTTCATAGGACCTCATTAATTGTATGTCCGTTCACTAAGTTTCAGATTTTGTTCTGTATTGATGCATAGAGTTGTATTTTGATCCTCACATGATTCGTCTCTCTTGAAACCGGCTTGTTCCAATGGGCGGCGTTCAGTATCCAGTGCATCTTTTATTCTCTCCAGGATGATGCAAATTAGTATTTTACCTGACGTGGACAAGAGCATGACTCCGCACCAATTCTTCCAGAGGCCTATGTTACCACATTCTTTGTTGACTTAAATAATAATTAGTGGTTAATTGAATTGATCCACATTCGACTCTTCCTCCTCCATTTAACCAGGTAATACAAGAATGATGATCTAATATAGAAACAAGGTTAATCAGACAGCAAATAAAGTAAGATTGAGTTAGTTAGTAAGTTAGATGACGGCGTAATATAATTGACTACAATGTTTCAACTTAGGTCAGGGTAGCAACAGAGGTAATTACAGGTAGAGATTTAGTAGAGGTGGGGTAGAGAACAATGCCACTTAAATTAGAGCTGAAATTGAGCGGATAAGTTGGATGACGTAACATAAATGAATGACTAGAAATTGAGCGTTGGTCAAGTCAGTAACAGTGGTATTGAGGTGTAGAAATTAAATCTGGTGGGGATAGAAAGTAAGAAGGTTGAAAATGTAAGATATTACAACTGAAAAGACAAAATAATACTAATGAAGAGACAGAAAAGAAAAAAGTAGAATTTACCTGTCTTCTATTAAGATAGATTACGTCCATTGAAAGTGTAGTGACTGAATGAAGTTCTTCTGTAATCAGAGTTCAGGACTTAGCAAGTGAATTGCCATTTCTTCTGTAGTTTGAAGAAGTCTGATTCGTGCACCTTTAGGAAGACTACTTCTTACTCTGTAGACGACTTTGAAGTTTGTTTGGGGTGTGTCTTGGTGTCCGGAATCTATCAGATGTCTTAAGATAGCGCTGTGGGGGCATCGTTTTTCTCCTTTATCTTCTCCTCTATCTTAGAACATCTGATAGATTCCGGACACCAAGACACACCCCAAACAAACTTCAAAGTCGTCTACAGAGTAAGAAGTAGTCTTCCTAAAGGTGCACGAATCAGACTTCTTCAAACTACAGAAGAAATGGCAATTCACTTGCTAAGTCCTGAACTCTGATTACAGAAGAACTTCATTCAGTCACTACACTTTCAATGGACGTAATCTATCTTAATAGAAGACAGGTAAATTCTACTTTTTTCTTTTCTGTCTCTTCATTAGTATTATTTTTCTTTTCAGTTGTAATATCTTACATTTTCAACCTTCTTACTCTCTATCCCCACCAGATTTAATTTCTACACCTCATTACCACTGTTACTGACTTGACCAACGCTCAATTTCTAGCCATTTTTTGTCACGTCTTCCTGCATTTGTCTATCTTGCTGAAAAACATCTCTAACCCCTTTTCTTTCATTTCTCTATCCTTTTTCAGCTGAAAGAACAAACTAAATCCAATATACCCTTATATCATCAGTTATTACTGTCAAATGGTCAACAATGCAGAACAAAACAACACGCTCACTTAATCAACTCGCATAAACTCTTCGATTCATATAAATCAAGTCAGACAACAAGTGTTGAAATCTTAGACTTGGAAGGCAGTAACAATCCTCGAAATACTACAAAACACCTTCTAACAAAATCAGCTAAGCCAGCTGGAATGACAATGACATCATCGTCCATCACGACAACAGCAACTCTTCCTCTCACTAATGCTACTACCACTACCACTACCACCTCGACAGTCGTAGTACCAATGAATAATAATGCTACTAGTAATAATGTGATAAAATATCGTACAAAACTCTTCACTAACCAAAACACTCCATTATCCCCATCAAAAACCCTATGGACAATAGGATCTTACACTGATAGACCTGATGAATCATCATCTTGTATTTCACAGAATGATGAAAGTGATACTACTACTACGACGACGACTACTACGACTCCGCCGCCAAGTAATGATAGTCAACTAGCGTGTAATATTCGCTTGGCGAATAAAACTAACCACTTCAACAATCAATAGTATGTGAAAGAATGAATTCTTCTTCTCATACTCATATGACTAGTGGGCATTTTGATCAGCAGTTAGATACTACTACTACTACTGCTGCTAATGTTAAGGACAATAATAAGTGCATCACTAGTAGTGTATCTCCACTCACGCGAAATCACATCACAGGAAGTACAATAACATTTGATAATTTACAAGTGTTTAAAAATTCGAATGAAGTTTATCTGTGCAATTGTAATTTGAACAGTAGCGCTAAATACAATTTTCCGTCTAGTTATTCAGTAATCCAACAGACTTTATCACCCGATATGAAATTTAGTAATACTATGAGAAAGAATGCCTCATGGAATGATATGAGTCGTCATGTTGAATATTTTTATGGTTATGATGATGATGATGACGACGACGATGTCGAAGACGGCAATGACGTCGAGGACGAAGATGACGACGAAGTCAAAAACAACGGCACTGATGATGATGAAGAAGAGGTGGAAGATGATGATGACGACGACGAAGAAGAAGAAGAAGAAGGGGACGAGGAGGAAGAGGAGTTAAGTGAACAGATAAATGGTAAAAGTGAACAGCCTTCAGAAGTTGATGGTTCCATAGTGGATAAAAATGAAGGTAAGCGGAAATAGGTGGACTTCTTTCCATCCTGAAAAAAATATAAGTGTAGTTTTTTAAATATTTGACGAACCGACAGTTTTTTTTTATATACATCAGTCTAGGAGATTCTTTTTAACTGATGGATGGTGACTAGCAGTGGAATCCAGGATAAAGCGCATTTCGTCCTATTTGGGACTCGTCATCTGGATGTATCTGCATTTCCCGCTGAGTGATGATGTTCCCACCACGGAGGCTTGAACCCAGTGCCCTTTAGTTTCAAACGCCAAAGCGCTATTCACTAGACCACTTGGGCCAAGAGAGCCACCCTCTTGTGCAACGGGTCATATTAATTATGTAATTGAATTTGAGATGTTCCCCTTCGATTGATTGACAGAAGTGCTCAGTCTCAGGTTGACATGTCGATATGATGAGTACCAAACAGGACGAAATGCGCGTTTTCCTAGACTCCACTGCTAGTCACCATCCACCAGTTAAATTCTAATTAAATGCCCAGACATTGTCGAAACATCTGCACAAGATGGAGCCGACATGTCAACCTGAGACCAAGCACTTCGGTTCAATCAATCGATGGGGAAATCTCAAATTCAATGAAATATGAGATTCTTGTATTGATAATTTTGAGACACTATTCAAATGTTTCGTAACTGAAAAAATACTCTAAACCTGGATAGATTACGGTGAGACTGATTACATATTTCCCTTTCTATCAGATTAGTTGAATAAGAAAAGAGAAAATAAGAATCTGACTCAGAATTCTGAGTCAAACTGAGCTCAAAAGAAAGTATATAGAAGGAAAAAAACGATCGGCGAAGAGTTACGTTTTTCTGCAACGACATCATCATTCTACATGTAGTAAATTTTCTTACCAACAGAAGGAGTACTTTCAAAGATGTGTCATTAGAATTGTAAATTCTAGATGACACATTACGTATTTCATACATTTATTCCCCTTAATGAATTTGAACAAAGCAAGAACTACAGTTTTAGCAGAAAAAAGTAGTACCATCTTTTATTTCATTGCCTTCTCGTCAGCTGCTTACAGATCAAAGACATTCATTATTAAATATATCTACAAAAACAATTTTGACATACTTGCATAGAGTTCATTTTTAAACAAAAATCAATCAATCATCATAAGCATATATATATATATGCAATATTAAACACTACTCCGAACAATAATAATCATACACAATAGAAACTTTTCAGTATTGTATTAAGATGAAAGATAGATGAAAATATCCAGTTACCAGGGCAAAGAAAGACTGATAACTGTTTATTTCTGAACGAACATTCCACGTCCCCATCCTTATTTTTGCTTTCATCGAAGGAAGGCATATCGGCTGACTGGCTTCCCGAAGGCTTTCGCCAGCCTGCGTCATTTCACTTCCCCAATTCCAGCGAAAAATAAGGTTATTGTCTATATTTTTAGTATTTTTATTATATTTATTCGTTGAAGTTTCTGTAGCACTTTGGTTAAGTTTTGGGGGTGGAATTGCTAACACCACGCCCTAACCCTCCCTCTTTATCCGGGCTTGGGACCGGCTGGAAAACTATCGAGCTAGTAATCTAGGCGAGGTAGTTTGGAAACTAATCGAGCACTACGGCGTTTGTTTGATGTCACACAAAATCGAAGACTAACAAGCAAAAACCGACCGACAAACTGGTCGAAGAAGCAGTCGGCGAAGACAGGACTCCAGGTGAAGATAGACAAGACGGAGGTTATGAAAATAACCAACCAACCAACAACAACAACATCAACAGCAGCAGAAACAACCAGCGCCAATCACCATCAACGGGAGGGATTTGAAAGAGGTAACCTCATTCATTCACTTACCTAGGCTAGGGAGCATTGTCTCAACTACAGGCAGTCGGAACGGACGAGGATCTCAAATCGAGCGAGAATCGGGAAGGCGAGAAACACATATATCAACCTGAAACCAATCTGGAAATCTTCGTTACTCAGCATCAACAACAAAATTCAGTCGGATTTTCAATACAAACGTCAAGTCAGTCAGTTCTTCTATATGGATCAGAAACTTGGCGGGCGGGTAACAAAGAATATTTCCAACAGCCTGTTGCAGACCTTTATCAACCAACAACTGTCTTCGCTGTCTCTATACTGAAGATCAGATGGCGGGACCGGAAAGAATCACCAACAACCAACCAAACTATGGGAACAAACAAAACAAGAACCAATCGCCCAACAAATATCCAGGAGAAAGTGGAGATGGATTGGACACTCGCTGAGGAGGCCGGTCGCTGTCATCGCGCGTCAGGCCATTGCTCGAGTAGAACCCGAAAGGGAAGCGGTGAGTGAGACGTCCAAGGGTGACATGGGGTTGATCGTGTGAAGAGGAGTTGAAACAGTATGGACTAACATGGATGCAGGTGAAAAGTACACCAGAAGACAGAAGTGGAGACGTGCAGTTGAAGCCCTTTGTTCCACTAGGAACCCAAGGGAACAATAAATAAATAATAATCTTTATACCTCATTTAACATAACATAACATAAGATAAGCTTTATTCCAAATCAGTACTTGTGATACAGAATGGAATTCTCAGCATTTTACTACAATATTGCATCCAGTTTTTTACATTAACAGTAAATAAAGTTCTACATAGATTAAAGTTATCTCAACAACATATTAGTATGTCGGTAGCAAAGCCAAAATTAAAGTGTTTGAAGGTGTTAGAAAAGTAGATACTACTAGCATATTTACTGGCGTAAGCAATAGCAAAATGGTCAAGGTATACAGAGTGTGAAAGAACGAACAAGAATGTTTTAAGTAGAGTTTGTAAGGAAGAGAGAAACAAAACAGCACATAACAAAAATGAATACAGAAAGAGAAAAAAAAGGTAGAGAGAAAAACGTTGTACCTGTAAATGATGTGACTTGGAAAGACGAGATCCATTTGTTCTACTGACTATTTAATAAGTTAAAGGTTTCCCGCCTAACGCTTTCTTTATCGCACAGAACACGAGCTAGGTAGGGTATGGATGAGTTTTTGTACTTACTAGTGCGGGCATATAGTTTCCTATATAGGCTTCTTGTTTTCCCTGAAGAGATACATGGGGAGAGTTGTGAATGTAGAGGGTGTTGTGAGTCATATAAAATGGATTTCGCCCATTTTTCACATGAGTCCATATGCCTGTCCACCAGAATATTAACAAGCTGGCTAAGTGGCAAACTGCTTACCCTGCTGACAACCTTTAACATCCTACGTAATAAGGTATAGTCTTTCTTCAATAGCCCAGGAAAGACTAAGGGGGAGCAATAGAGAATAATAGGCAGAATACGGGAGTTAACAAATTGTAGGAGTAAGGGTTGGGTTACACCAGAATGTCTTAACTTCTTGATGTAGAAGGCAAGACGGTATATTTTCTTGGAAATCGTCAAGATATGAGACGACCAGGAAAGATCAGAAGATAGAGTGACGCCTAGGTATTTAATTCATATACATCATCTCTAAGAGTGAGACTATAAAAAAATATTCATATCAATCGACAGAAATTCTTAGACCTAAGTTTCTTGCTGGTTAGCACTCAGCAGTCAGCTAGGGCAATCTACAATATGATGACATTCGTTAGTGTTCAAGCGAAATATCCAACACATTCCCACAAGAGGCCAGTCACGAGTCCGAATGGCTCAGTAGTAATGTCTTTGAATACAGCACTGGGTGGTGACACAGGTTTGAATCTCAGGTGGGATATGAATTTCTTCAAAATGACAGATACGCCTTGCTGACTGACTCGTGAGTGCCGACAAACACGAAACGTAGGTTAGCCAGGGCTTCCTGCAGATTACCTTCAACTATTAAATAACAACAGTTCAGATTGCGCCCTGTTGGAGAGCCACCTAGAGGCATGTTGGCCACATTGCAAACTTGACCAATAAAATCCAATCCGTAGTAGCAAACAAATAATTAGGCACATGACACTAGTTCAGACTGAAATCTGCTATTTAAACTACTACACTCAGCCACCGACCCGATACTTATGCGCCAGTAGACGACTTACACGCTGTCTTGGAATTTAATCAGTCACACAGCCGTGTAAGAACTGTACTACCACGTGTGGACCTGATTCGACATGTCCCACGGCTTTTTGTCATAATCTTCGCAACTGAGAATCACGGTGACATTGCCTTTGTCAGGTTTAGTTATAACAATAATTGTATCCAATCTTAAAGTTTGTAATGCATAACATTCGTCCTTCAACAAATTTGTGGTTAACTGCTTTTGATTCGACAGGATACATCCAAACTCCTCACACATTTCATTAGCTTCGTCATCAGGTAAAAATGTTTATTACAGATTCAATGATGGGAGTTATTTCTATCGCTTCCCGTGGTTTTCTCAAGCATGTTAAAGTTTAATCCCTTCTCATGTAATGCAACTTCGTGTACACTGAGTTCACGGTCTGACAAATCGCCTCAGCCTGTATAGCTGATTGATCTGCTCTAAAGTGTATGCAGTATCGTAAATAAAATACTGTCTGTCTGTCTGTCTGGATTCAACATAGAACTTGGCACCGAAGTGCACCACTTCAAGTTGCCACGTTCCAAATAGCACACAAAGGTAGACAAGAAAATGATGAGTGAAGAGAATCAATAGAGTTTGACAAGTATAAGAGCGAAACAGAATGGGTAATGGTAGAAAGGAATATGAAAGATTACAGAGACTGAATACATCTGCGCCATTGACAACGATTTTGAGCCATGTCACCTATTGCCTCCAGTCATTGATTCCTAGAGTCCCGAGGAGCCAACCCGGAAGTCTGTATCTCTCTACCTGACTCAGTTTAACTGATGCCATGTTTTTGTTTGGCCACCACTTACTCTTTTCCAACCTGCTCCTATATCAGCTAGTAATGCCCGTCGTCGGGGGAGGCGATGGTTAGGCATGCGTGACATGCGCACCACGTGACCTAGCCATCTCAATCTATGTAACTTTATAGCCTCGTCGATTGATTTTCCCTCTTTGCCCAACACTACACATCTAACATCAACATTACTTACCTTATCATACCACCTAACGTGAGAAAGAGATCGTAGACATCTATGATCGAAGGCAGTCAACCTTTTCATGTCTTCAACTCGTATTGGCCATGTTCCAGAGCCATAGAGAAGGACGGAGCGAACTGCTGAGCAGTACACACCTCCTCTGGTTGATAGCCGGAAAAATACACAGCCGGAAATACAATAGCTCGAAATGAAATACTGTATTGTTACACCAATTCGACCGATATTTTGATAATATAATCCAATTTTTAGTTAGACTTTAAATACTCCAGCTCATAGATGTTACGAATTTCCTGGGATAATTTGACCGCCAAGTCAAACTGAATCATTGTAGAGCTACTTAAAATAGTCCCAGTGTATTTAAGGGTGGTTCTGAAAGTTTCGCTGTGTAAGCCACAGCTCCCCTTCAAGCAGAATTACTAACCATCAAAAAATCAAATAGACTGAAGTGAAATCCTTTGAAGGTCACTTGTCGGTAGATACTTGTACCAGCAGAAATATGTAAACAGTCATCGCATACTTGGGAATGACTAGTGTCAAACTGTCATATCTCTATATTTGTCTGCATGAGTGTATGTATGTTGTTTGTCGCATAGGAAACGCGTCAATTCATATGTGAAAAACACGATATTGTTTTACAGTGATCACAACAGACGACTGAGTAATTTTTGACGGTTAATAAAATTCGGGTAATTCCGCCTAAGAAGAAGCGGTGGGTTTTACACAGAGAAACTTTCAGAAGCAATCTTGTTTTGATTTTTTCTTAAACATGCTGGGATTATTTCAAGTCATCTTGATAAGTATTTTACCGCTGTCTCACTAATTTGAAGCTTTGACGGGGAGTAGTAGTGTCAGACGGTTCTTATTCACTCTTAGACTAAAATAAGCTGGAGACATCATTTCACATCATCAAATCTAACACAATACTTATGTAAAATCCGATCCCTTCGAAGCATTATTACCAACAGTAAGGTAAACATTATGTGATAGTACTTTGGTGGATGGTGACTTGGTGCTGGCAACTTGGGCTACAAGCGCCCGATTGGCCTAGTGAATAACGCTTTGGTCTCAGTCGGATCACCGTCACTAAACGGAGAATGCAGGTACACCCTGTTGGAGAGCCTCAAGTAGGATGAAACGCGCGTCCACTGCTAGTCTCACCATCTACCAACTGAATTCAGGTTAAATCCTCAGACACCATCGATGCATCCGCGTAAGGAGCCGACATGTCAACACAGGCCAAATATTTCGGTCCAATCAATCCATGAGAAAGTCTGTCCAAATTGAATTAAACTAGGCCAGTGTCTTTTAAATAATTCCTTAATAGTACGAACTTTTCTCATCAATGAATCCATTTCAAAGTTTCCATGACATAGATAGAATACTGGTAGTACATGTAAACTGAAACAAATGGTCTTCTTACAGGAACAAGGTTTTCCACTCAAAGTCCAATCCCCAGGAGTGAAAGAGGAGCAGTGCAAGGAACTACGTGCTTCGTAAAGTAGACAGAGCATATAATATACAACCGTTACACACCTGCACAGTACGATACTAATCCTCAAAATATGTTACAAATTATTACAACAATCAATAAAGCTGACATATCACCTTATTCCCCATAATGTAGGATTTATTTATTTTATTTTTATTTTTGATTACAGCTTGATTCCACACCGTAATTTTGGTAAGTATGGAATTTACAGTATGGATATCGGTAGCCCAAATTTTGCAGGCCGACCATAGATATCAGGTGTGCGTCGGCAGGGGACCGAACCTCGGACCATGTGCATGGTCGGCGAGAGTCCTAACCACTGTGCCACCGACGCACAGGGTTTGTAGGAAATTCAGTTAGGTTCAAGGCAGATTTCATGTGGAACCGAAATCGGTTAGAGAACCAGTGAAAAATAATTGAGAACCAGACAGGTCTCGTCTTAGTGCGAGACTCACCAGCAGTGTGCAGATGTTAATCCGCTTCGATTTCTGGAGTTATAACATCGTTGTTAGATGGTTGGAGGCAGTTGGCAGGAAGTCCTGTCTGACCAAGGTCTAGTGCTTTGTGGGGATTCACCAGCAAGGCGTATGTACTGTATTGAAAAAACTCATATCCCCTCTGAGATCAAAACCCGGAGCACCTAACGCTGCGATCAAAGACGTTACCAGTGAACTATTCGGGCTCACGATTGAGCTTAACTTCCAAATAATAACGCCCTAAATTAGCACCCTACTATCACTTACTTCATCCCAAGCCACAAAGACTTCACATACCAAATACGGTCGAAAGCTTAGCATATAAAAGGACCTGCATCGCCATAGATAGTCTAAAGATCACGATATATGCCGCGTGACTACACAGAAGTGAATTTTAAAGTATTCGGGATTTCAGAAAAATCTTGGAAAATCGTCCCATACAAAGTCCAAGTTTCGACGAGATTTTCACTTTTAAGTTTTCTATTCTAAGAAAAATTACTTTGCAACCGGGCACGGACACACCATTATTGGAATCCACACGACACCCTCATTCTTCATAACACACGCATGTTCAACATCAACCCTGGAGCGAATTAATTCCTAAAAACCTAAAGAGAACATTGCTATGTCCCCAAAAAGAAACATTTGAATTTCGCGTGCCAATGCAATCAATCAAGTAACATTATCAAGATAACTAATCGTTTGGTTCTGGGTGAGTTTTCTTAATCGTCATGGAAATATAGGACTTTTACTAACTCCTAAAAACTTATCAAAGGTAGGAGCATAACACAAAAATAACACTTAAAAATCAAAAACACTTCGCTTCTAACTGTCGCGTAAACGACGTATCCACGTCGACTTACATGAAACAAGTATTTTGTTTACCTAATACCCTGCTGGAATGATTGTCAGGTCAAATACATAGGTCAAAGTGGTAAAACATGATCAGTTAGTCAGACTGGTGGTGCACAAAAGCATAGCGTAATCTAGATTACTTGACCCTAATAAGACGAGAAATCTAGAGAATAGTTCAGCTATACCACTCACTACACACAAGCATACAATGGGATGATGGGATAGGATGACAGTTTTAGAATTTAATGTCACAGGGTAGGGGGAGGGAGAGATTGATAACAGAAGCTTTGTTTATCGAGTCAACTGCAAACACCTGTAATAGGAATGATTTAACATCTGTCCACCCGGACATCTGGAAAATTCTACTATCCCTACGACAAATAGGAGAGGACAAAGAAAACTACAAAACTCAAGTTTCGAAGTCGTGTGATTATAACTGATATGATTATGAACAATATATTGTGTTCGAAACTTCGTCATCCAGCAAATAATACCGTTTTACTGTGTGATATGCCTATTAAACAAACTAATATGGAATCGTACCATATAATTTAAAAAACGAACTCAATGTTTGCAGCTGTATTTTAAATTCATAGTCCCCTGACAATAAAATAATGACCAAGTTTAGCACAAAACTTTCTAACTGTACTAAAATGTCTTTTTTTTAATCTTTGCATATTTTAGGTCGACAAGAGTTTACCAATCCATACAATCACTCGTCAAATGTAACTCTGCCACATGAAAGCAGTTCTGAAGAATCTCCCTGTCAAGTACAAATAAGTAATCATAGTACGCCTAGAAGACAACCGCTTGGAACATCTGTTGTCATAATCACTTCTAAAGGCAGAACAATACAACCGATGAAAATTATTTAAGTCACATCAGGGGTCATCATCTCCTTTCAGATGGAATATCTCACAAGACGAAAATTCGGCTGAACTCACTTTTAAAACTTTAATTCTCAGAACATTTGTTGTACTTAAAAAAATTATTGTTCCTCTCTCTCTCTCTATTTGTTTGTTGTCCTACCGGTAGCGATAATATACAACACTAGAAATTGAAGTTTTATTGCAATAGACTGTTTTATTATTATTATTATTTATAGGGATGCAGAAACATTCACAAACACGGTGTTTGAGGGACTTGGTGGATTCTGACAGTAAACATTTTTCAATTGAATGAAGTTCTTCGGATAACATCAACCACGCTGAAAAAATGGAAAAATACAAACAAGTATAGAGATAAAAATTAAGACAAGAGCAGGACAAGTCAACAAAATTTACTGAAATGGAAGCCTATAACTGTCTTTTATACACACAATGTATGCTTAACCATATTGGATCAGAGACAATAATACTCTCACAAAAAGTGAGCTATTTCGAAGTGCAAAGTCTTAAGCTGACCGAGTGGTCAGTTAGATAATTACTGACTAATAATCCGTACTAAATAATCCGTAACACACACAATTTGGAAGGGGTGTCTTAATTTTAAACATGTAGGAAAATACCACCAGCTAATCTGTCTGTCGGTTATCGACATAGAACTTTGCACCACAGTTCAAGTCGTCACACTTCATGTAGCATACAAAGCAAGAGAAGAAATGAATAATAGAGACAGGAAACAGAGGTGTGAGACAAAGGAATAGTGATAACGAAGAACAATATAGCTTTATTGGGTGTTATAAGTCAGAAGGAGTGGATGGATCTGAGCCGGCCATTGAGAACGATTTTGAGCCATATCGCCAATTGTCTCCAGCCAATGGTGTTTACCGTCCCGAGGACCCCAACCACGAAGTCTACACTTTCCTACGTGACTGGCTTAAACTAACTGTTGTAGATTTCATTGACTGGTACCATGTTTTGGTCTGACCACCGCTAGCTCTTCTCCAGCTTGACCCTGTCAGCTAACATTGCCCCTTGTCGAGGAAAGCGTTGAATAGGCATACGTAACACATGTCCTAACCATCTCAATCGATGCAACTTCACAGCCTCGTCGATTGATTTCCCCTCCTTACCTAGCACTCGACCGATGCCTAACCTCAATATTGCTCACCTTATTATACCACTTCACATGGGAGATAGAACGCAGGCACCTATGATCAACCGCCAGCTAATAGTGACGAAATCATCCACTACGACATTTGTTGAGGCACACAGTGAATTAACATCTTTCTAATGCATGAGGCTTATCAGAGCGCACTTCAGTTTTAATCTATTTCATAAAATAAATTGGAAGATACAGATAAATCAGATTCCTGTGTAATCAGATTGAGGAATAAGGTCGTGATGTTATATTCTCTATGAAGGCTTTAAATGGTACACTAGTTGGTGAAAGCAAGTCATTCTGCCACAGTTATTGCTGGGACTTAGTCACGTTCTGCTCAAAAAAAACTACTGAGGGATTCGAGACGATATCCGGCACGGAGATACTTGCAAATTTGGTGAATCTTGTAGTCTATTACACAATACTTACGTTGGTATATTGGGCGCTAACACTTCAGTACTCTGCTTCTGTCCACTAAAAGTATTCGTTGAAATTTTCATTCAACTGGCTCACAATTTCAGCCATATTTCTAGTTTTCTTTTTGTCACAAACTGATTTATTTATTTACTCGGACCATTTTGTCTGTATAACGTCATGAAAAGAAGACTTCCGTGAGAGGCTTGTATGCTCTTAGTTAGGTCTCAATTACCCAGCACTAGACTAAGCCACACTCCTGTGTGTGGAGCGGGCTAATGATACTTCTCAGTTGCTCACGCTGAAGATCGGATCGAGCAGGACTCAAATCAAGGACCCAATGAATGAAAGTCGAGAGTTTAAGCCAACACACCCTATCTTACTAGGTATGATAATAAAAAAACTAAGTACACAAGTTAGCCCATCATGTCACTAGAAACTAACGCAGAAATGACTGACTACGCAACTTTAAATCTCGTGTCCTACTGAGACGAATACAGTTGTTACACCTGGCAATAACACGAAGAGAAAACCTTAAAATTAGAGTCTTTATCAAAGAGAAACACGAGACTACCAATAAAGACATAATTAGTTTCAGGATTTCATCATGAGCTGACAGTAGTTAGAGAACCATTGGAAAACCTGGGAGTACTGGACAGCTGTTTCGTCCTAGTTTGGGACTCTTCAGCAGTACGCACCCACACTTGAAAAGACATAATTAAATGAAAAGTGCGCGCAACTGAACTTCTACAACTTTCAATTCTGTCGTTTTAGCATGTTACCAGCTACTTTAAAACTCTTCCGTTTGCTAAATTTGAGACAGTGCAATGGTATAACTGACGTATGAAAGAATGCTCTTCATAAACTTTAAAACCCACTTTTCTGGTTGTTAATTCATTCAACCCACGTGTCCCAACGATTCTGTCAACCAAAATGGTAAACCCAAGTGCATGTGTGAGTATAGGACTGACTATTGAAAGTCTACATACCTTTAATGTGGAACCTATGCATAATTTAATGAATTTTCACGTCAAATGAATGACTCGTAAGTTAATCTTGTTTAGTCGTTACTATCCCCGCAAACGACTAAAAGTGAAACGATATTTTTAAGGCATGTACTCTTACTCAAGACATGACACTGATTATCGGTGGAGAAATTATACAATCTTTAGGAGGATTAAGAGAAATTTTAATGTTCGAGGTCAATAATAATTCCTTTATTGCTTAGCTGTCTCAGTTATAATATCGATGAGCATAAACGTTGAAAACTTAGGTGGTAAACTGTAAGCAAAATTTTATCCATAACCTAAGTCTTACAACCCAAAGCAATGTATACTTAATTAAGGACCTCAAAATCTGCATGTCGTATAAGGCATTACAAGCCAGTAAACTACAATGATTATCTGCTAGTCACGAAGCACTTAAAAAGAAACTATGTTCATACTTATGTCCAAAACAGTACTTCAACGTTCCAACCCACCAGACAGATCGTATTTAAGTAACTCATGTTACTCCAACTACATTTGGGTTTGTAATCTGCCCTAATCACCGTTATCTGACTTTATAAACTCTGGTGAGAAATCACGGTGATACCCATGTTATCACCCTATGTGATATTTGAAAGTTCCAACTACATACAGGATTTTCCAACACCATGAAAGAATTATCCTGATCAAAGTTCAAAATGCCTAAGATGAATAATTTCAGAATAATGGATATGCTTGAAATAGATTTTGTTCTAGATGGACCGGTCAGATATGCTCGATTCAGCAGACGATTCATGAAGATAGACTGAGGAGGTTGATTTATCACGGAGACATTATTACACATTCGTTGCACTCTGAGTATAACACAGGGCTTTAGCGACACATCATAATCACATATTCCTGACTTGCAGAAATAGGAAATGGTCTTTAAAAAAAACAGGTCAGTAAATCGTCAACATGGATATAACAACCCTGACAAATGTTAACAAGGTACTAAAAGAGATCATGAGAGATGAGATGTGATCAAGACGATAAATAAATGTGCAGTGATGAGTGAAATAGGTATGTTAAAGGATGATGTTGATCTCAGTTAAGATAGTAGTGACATCCCCCAAACATGTCATAAAACAGCTTCAAATACTGCAAAAACAGTGTGCATAAACTATCATAAATAAAACAGACGTGAGTTTGAATGTTTTGGCAGAGAACAAGAAAGGGGTAACTACAACAACTTCACCACGCAAGAATTATTAGTCACAAAACACCTTAATGGACCTGAAAAGTGAAGATAGCCTTGTCAAAAAATGAAGAAATAACTAGACGAAGTCTCTGGAGGTTTACAACCTTTAACACCAAATTAATCACCTATAGACGTCTGTCTGTCTGTTTTCGACATAGAACTTTGCACATATGTGCGGAAGTTCAAGTCGCCACACTCCGTGTAGCACGCGAAGCAAGAGAAGAAAGTACAAGAAAAGCATAACAGAAACAGTGAGCAGAGGTGTGAGACAAAGGAGTAATAAAGAAAAACAAAACAGTTTCATTGGAGATCATAAGTCACAGGGAGTGGATGCATCTGCGCCACTGAGAACGATTTTGAGCCATGTCACAAATTGTTTCCAACCATAGATTTTTACCGTCCCGAGGACCCCAGCCTGGAAGTCTACACCTTTCTACGTGGCTTAGACCAACTGTTGTGGATTTCATTGACTGGTGCCAAGTTTTTGTTTGACCGCCGCTAGCTTTTTTCCAGCCTGACCCTATATCCGCTAACATTGCTCGTCGAGGGAGGCGATGACTTGGCATACGTAACACATGTCCTAACCATCTCAGTCTTTGTAGCTTCACGACTTCGTCGATTGATTTCCCCTGTTTACCTAGAACTCTACGCCTAACCTCAATATTGCTCACCTTATTATGCCACTTTACACGGGAAATAGAGCGCAGGCACCTATGATCAAAGACAGCTAGTCTCTTCATGTCTTCCACTCTCAGTGGCCAGGTCTCACAACCATAAAGGAGGACGGAGCGGACTGATGAGCAGTACACCCGCCCTTTGGTCGATAGTCGAACATCTCGTCTACGCCAGAGTCGGCGTAAACTGGCAAATGCGAAACGAGCCCCCTGTATTCGTGCTGAGATTTCGTCGGAGATCAGCCCGTTGGGGCTGATGGTACTTCCCAAATAAGTGAAGCGGTCAACGTGCTCTACCACTTCACTTCCTATTTTTAAACTAGGCGTCGATGTAGTCCAGTCCTGTAACATCATCTTGCATGTGGCAGGAGCGAATCGCATGCCAAACATTCGTAGATTGCAGCTCAAGGTGTTCAGAAGAATCTGTATTTCTTCGGCGTCCTCCCCTAGAAGGACTATATCGTCTGCATATTCCAAGTCAACGAGATTATTCCCTGTTAGGAAGTCAATCCCTGAGTCGCTGAAGTCACCTAAGGTTAAGTCCATTAACACATCTATGATGAAGTTGAATAGAAAAGGAGATAATGGGCATCCTTGACGGACACCACTGGTCGTCATCAGTTCAGATGACAGCTCGCCGTAAGCCCTCACCTGGCTGTATGAGTACGAGTAGAGTGCCTTAATCAGTGCAATATATTTCCTCGGAATTCCCTTTACAGCCAAGCATCTCCAGAGAACTTCCCGATCGACAGAGTCGAATGCTGCCTTTAGGTCAAGAAATATAATGACTGTTGGACGCCGGTAGGAATGCCTATGTTCTAGAATCTGTCGGAGGGTGAAGATATGATCAATACACCCTCTTCCTGGTCTAAAGCCTGCCTGGCTCTCTCGTGTTTGTGCCTCCCGAGCACCACTTAGTCTACGCATGATTTTTGAGCCTAAGACTTTAGATACTATATTAGTCAAGCTAATCCCTCTGTGATTATCACAGGAAGACTTGTCTCCCTTCTTGTATATGGGGATAATCAGTGACTTACACCAACCCGATGGGACTTCTTCTGATTCCCAGACGCTGCCTAGTACCTCAGTTAATCCAGACAGTAAGCTGTCTCCACCGTACTTAAATACCTCTGGAGTCATTCCATCAGGTCCCGCTGATTTGCCTAGTTTCAAATTGGAGACAGCTTTAGTAACCTCAGTTAGGGATGGAGGACCTGTGTCTATATCCCATTTAGGGAGGAGTTGGATGTTCGGAAGGTCGAGCGTGGCTGCGGGCCAATTAAACTGCTCCTCATAATGCTTTTTCCAACGATCCAGTCGTCTATCCTGGGAGCTGGATCGTTGGAAAGAGCATTATGAGGAACAGTTTAATTGGCCCACAGCCACGCTCAACCTATAGACGTAACCTATTTCTACTTCTATCATGAACCGAAACACAAGAATAAGGTCTGCAAATCTGAGGAGAGATAAACCAACTCATAGGTTACATTAGCTAGGTAGTATGTTTACGAATAAAGACCCTAAAAAATGATTTTTTTACCAAAAAAAACATGTTAATCGATTATAATTCAGCATAAATAGACATTACCTGCGCATTATACGCGATTAACTGGGCATCTAACTCTTCTTTCGTGACAGTCGGTTTCTGTGTCCTTCCGCGACCGCGAGCACGACCTCGACCACGTCCAAAGCCACGGCGTACTGGGAAACCACGAGGACGAGTAACACGTGGACGAGCAGTTGTAGTGGTTTCAGTTGCTTAAAGAGAAAATATATGCGCCTGAGGGTGCAGTAATGCCGCAAATAAATTACCCATAGATTAAGGTTGAATTTACTACTCATCAACTACAAGCTCGTTTACATGAAACCACCAAAAATGAAGTCCCTAAACAGTTTACTTGGCTTTGTTCTCAGCAAAATACGGTATTGTAGACACCAAATTTCACATATCAATGAGCAAGAACACTCAAAATGGAGTAAATCAAAATTTAAAACCTCCCTGCTCATTGAAACGGTCGTACCATATCTGGAAACAATGGAAATCGTCACGTCCAGAGAAATGTATGACCATTTGGAAATTACGCAAGATAAAATCCATGAATGTGTGAATTCTCGGCTCCACTGTTGTCGACGACAAGTGCGTCCATACATCCACGTTAGGGAAATTATTTAAAACATGTCTACTGGCAGCACGTCAGTGTGATAACACTATCTTCTCAAACAACGTGGAACAACCATGCAAAGTTACGAAACCAACAGTTGAAACCCAAGTGATTTCCTGATGGACGTGGCTGGGTGATTGTTGACTAACCTGCGCCAACCAACTGGATGACCATGGGACGACCATCAAGCGGTACGCCATTGTAATGGTTTTTGGCTTTAGTTGCACTCAATGGATTGACAAACACGACTTCTGCAGTGCCCAAAGAACGACCACTTCTGTCATAATGAACCGTCGCTTTACGAATTGCACCGAATTCTCGGAAAAGTTCCTACAAGTTCATTCATAGCAAAGAACCTTACATTAATATCATCATTATTCACACCGAAATCCAGGTTTGAAATGTGAAGTCTGGTAGCCGTTCCAGTAGTATTACTTGCAGCCTTTGGACTCCGGCCATCTTGGAACATATCGTGCTGCCATTTATCAGGTAAGACACGGGACTAGAGATATAAGGATAGTTCATATGCATACCATTCCGTTAGCATTGCGTCTAGTAACTCCACCACGACGGACACCTCGCAGAGACTCCCCACCTCGGCCTCTACCTCGTCCTCTTCCAACTCTAATGCGCTTTTGTTGGATAATGTCATCCAGACTCAAATCCATTGTTAGACCTAAGTCACACAAACAAGCTAACCCGCCGAACGCAGACGATCAAACTCCAATGCTTAGTAGAACGATTAGGTGAATTCAATGTCCAATCCGCCAATTTGATTACCTATTCAGACCGGAATTTCAGGAGCTGAAATTACGATTGGAAAATGTAATTTGATTTCCCTACTTGATTTTCTGCTCTTAAAGAAATGAGAACAGTTACCACTGTCTAGTGGTGGGTGGGACCGCGAACTGTATTGAAGGTCGCAAGCATCCAGGACGTTCTGCATTGGTATTACTCTAGCCAAAACAAGTTTTTGGCTCCCTTCTAAAGACATCTAGCTACGTGGACGTGATCTCATCCTTGGAAAGCAAATCTCAAAGCTTTCTGATAATTAGAAAGTTGCATGGAGGATTTAATCATGAGCTGACATCAGTTAGAGAACCACTGGGAAACCTGGGAGTACTGATTAGCTGTTTCGTCCTAGTTTGGGACTCTTCAGCAGAACGCGCCCACCGGGATTCGAACCCAGGACCTTCTGGTTACAAGGCGAGCTTGCAGACCATTGAGCCACTGGGACCCGATCCAATGGTCCTTGAATCCTAACTTCTGCCAGTTCACGACATAGCGCGACCAATTCGCAATGTCTTCTTCGATGAGTCACTGCCTCATCTTCAACCTGCTGTACCCTACTGGTCACGGCTTCCCACTAGAAACATAGGTTAACTGCCTGAATAGGGCCAGTCACTAGTGAGCATCAGATTGATTTTCAAGTTGTCAGCTCATGATTAAATCCTCCATGCAATCAAACAAAATCCCTACAAAACCAATACTTGAAAATTAGAAAGTTGTCCGGAATCTTCAGTTGAGCCACTTAAAGTTTCAAGAATGTACTCGTGTATCTGACTCAGAAGCTTATTTTTAGACGGCTCCTCTGATGAATTCTGGTGCTAATACTAGGTGGAACGCCACAACTAAAGCCTCTACTTTACTGCTGACAAACTTAAGACAGAGGTATGAGCACGGATGCTTTCCTCATCTTACTTAAAGTGTACTTAGTTGCAACTCTGTGAACCTTTTCTACAAAAGAGGTGTATCCCAAGCTAAGTCTATACTATGAATTGATTCTTCTTCATATTAGCTAACATGCAGTCATTCGTTAAATTCCAAGTATTTGTAGGGGTCGTCTTCAACGATTTCGGACAGCAATACACGGTGGACATTTTTGTTTCTCCAAGGGACAAGAGTGCAGCGGCCGCATTGTGGTGTGATTATGTATCTCTAGATTTTCTTCGTATCATCCTTAGTAAATGCACCTCTGAGCAGGCCTAAGTGCTTCATTCTTCCACCTGCAGTTGGGGCTGAGTAAAGAGCAGCCTTGATATCTGGTTAGGTAGGCCATAATGGAGAGTCAGCAGGTAGTGTAGCCAGTTCTCAGGCCCGGCAGGATAGATGACCACACAGTAATCATGCGAGTTATTTCTAGCTGAAGTCGGTTTGAAGTCGCTCAGGCAGCACAACTGGTAGGTATCCTAGAAGATCACTTTATGAAAGTGTCCGTTCATAAAATGAATTCCGGTGGGTTAATACTCTATGTGAAATGATTGCGCATGACACGGGTAGCCGTATAGTAAAAGATAAAAAGAAGCCTTTCCCAGGGGATCTCACATACTAAAACATGGGAGGGTGGTGGCTGCTACTCAGTACTGTTTTGCTAAGACTCCTGAATTTGAATGCCTTCTTCATAAAGAAGACAAATGCTGCGTGGAAGCCAGAGCGTAAATATAAACTTTTTTAATGTAGGTACGTCGTATGAGCCCACTAATTCAAGAAGTCAGCTTTGTTGACAGCAGTGATATCCAGCTTCTCTTCTAGGTGTTACCTGCACAATGACCTTCCGTTTTAACAGTTTTGCCATAATCACTTCTCATTGCCTTCCCAAATACGTATAGACTACAATCCCTCTGTTACTAATATACACGTTACGTCAAATACTAAAGTTGTACTTCATATAACATTTTACGTTTTCCTGGATATTAGGCCATCTAAGGTTCATTTTAGACAGCTGTATATGTTTTGTTTGGGTGGGCATTTTAGTTAACTGTGAGTCATTTTGTGTTCACTCAATGCGCTCTTGATGTTGGATAATCCCAAAATTGCGGGCTTTTGCCACAATTATTAGACAGTTTCTCCAACAGAACGATAAGTCTTGGAGTATCTTCGAAAGTTTTGGTCTTAATGTAGATCTTTTTGAAACATTTTAATTCATTAAAGTTGCCCGTTTGAAATACTGGTGTTCAATTAGGTATTAAAATTTTACATATTACTGTAGATATATGTTTTGGACTATAATCTGTTGACACTCTAATCGGAAATAACTTTTGGAAGTCTGATCTAAATTATTCGATGCCACTATTTTAAAAACCACTAACATCAATAACAATCATCCTGCCACCATAATGCATTGTATAACTGTAGAACCCGATAAAGAGGAAGTCATCGAAAAGAATTTTTTATATTTTTGATTACAGCTTGATTTCACACCGTATTTTTGGTGAGAGTATGGAATTTTCAGCTGCAAATTTTCAGCATGTGATATCGGTAGCCGAAATTTTGCAGGCCAACCGTAGATGTTAGGTGTGCGTCGGCAGGGGATCGAACCTTGGACCATGTTCATGGTCGGAGAGAGTGCTAATCACTGCGCCACCAATGCACAATATCCTCTGTTGAATGATAAATCTATTATGAAACAGTTTGTTTTCTTTTGAACTTTGGGTTGAAGACTGGGGGGTGTCTTCGTTGAGGTTTGTGCAGTGACATTAAAAATGCATTTAACTAGTCTTCTGAGGGAAATCATAAAATTCCGTAGCTATTATTTTTCAACAAAGTTAAACCCGTGTTTATCATATATTGTCTATTTTAAATTATCAACACTCGTTTGCTCTTTATACATTCCACTTTAGGTTTTGCCCTGGGCCTTTCCTCTTCCAATGGGTACTGCCCTGCATTACGACGCTGGCACACTAATGCTATCCTCCACACGAATATTGCTCAAAATGCTCCTTGTAAGTATTCAGAATAGAGTTAGCACATCTGACATAGATCAAAACAACCTTTGTCATAACGATATCAAGAAAATTTGCTGTAACCAGAAGACAGCTCTCCGGAAGTCAGAACACTATTTAATGCATGTAGAAAACAACTGGATTTCATCGCAGGCGATATTAAAAGACAGATGGTAAGCCGAAGTCTTATTGGTCCTCCAAGCAAAAACCAATACCACAGGTTAGCTGCTCAACAGACTTACTATGTAATCCGCAACTGGTTATTATCAATACACTAAAAATTAACCCTACGAATAACGCCCGAATAATACACATAATTACTTCTGTCAGCCAACTCTCAGAAACTGTTAATGTCCAGCTCTTACACGCTGGACCTCACGCTATCCCTCCAAGACTTTCAGAAACAATTTGTATTAACTAACGCGAAAAACAGAACACTGATTGTTGACTCGAGAATCCTTTATTCTACGCCAACATATAACCAACAATAAAGTTATTACACAAGGTCTAAGAATAAATGTTATAACAATAAATCACGATAATACTTCTGATAGTATTTTATCTTCCACTGAACAGCGAACGATGTGACGATGACTGTTGGATTGATGACTCCCGTGAAAAATATGGAGGAGTTGGGTTTGAGCTAACTACCATGAATTGATCTTTCAACCTTCAGCTACATTGACAACTACTGATCGTGTTCCTCCGGTCCTCCGTCAATGCATACTGATGAGCAGATATGGTAGTGGTCACAAATGTGAATTGCTCCGATCTGTAGGACAGCAACATGCATTTTTTGACAGCTCGAGAATTCAATATTAGTCTGAACCCTCAACAAAAAAATATATAAAAAATAATAAGGGTTGTACAGATCTACATTATAAATAAAAAAGTGCTTTCGCTCCCACCATCTAAAAGCCTGTTCAGCTTCTTGTCAAGATGCTACCCATTGGGCCCTACAGAAATTTGTGAGACATCTTACAGGCCAGCTTGTCCTACGGGTTCTGATTTTCCAGATCTTTGAATTCACTCCTCAATTAAATATCACTTGCCTACCGCACAAAAACCTTTTTTACTCACTATTATACTGTACTTTATGTTAACTACCTAGGCTATTAATAAAGCTAAACCTTGTTCTTTGTTCATATTTGTGGCTTACCCAAAGTCTGGCTGCTTTGATTAAAAACACAGCAACACCAATGTTTGAACGAAGTTATATCTTCATTGAAAACATTATAGTTCCCATGCCTAGACCAATAAGATTAGCATTAAACATCGCAAATGTATACCATCACTTCAAGTACTACATAGCTTCCTTTTGTATTTATCTTATAAATATACTTCCAATCGTGTATTATTCATAACTGCATTTTATACCATTTTGCAGCTGCGGAGAATTTTCTTCTCTTCAATCACGTGGCAGCATAGCACTCACCCAGAATATACGCTGTTCACTAGGTGACCATAACTATCAGCAGGAAAAGGAACGAAGTTTGGGTTATCGTTCAACTTTGGTACGATTACACATTTATAAAAACCTGTTCAGATTGCCAGTTGCATTATTGAAGAATTTAAATTATGAAAAAGCATTACTCAATGTAGTTGAAGATTGAACGATCAATTCATGGTTGTTTGCTCAAAACCAACTTCCCCAATTTTCGCGGAGACATCGATACACCAGTCATCGTCTCATCGGTCGCTGTTCAGAAAGAAGTCAGACCAAAACCGTCAGGATTCTTGGTTAAAGCCTAACTTTAAAGTAGAATAAATATTGGTGTTACAATAAAGAATTCTCAAGCGGCCAATCGGTGTTTTGGTCTTTGCGTCCGTTATTACTAAGAGTTTCTGAGAAACTTCAAGGAACAGCATGAGCCCGAGTGCAGCAAGAGCTGGGCATTAACGGTTTACGAGACGTGGCTCACAGTTTCTGACAGTGGAAACAGATCATGACGGATTCAGACTGTTGGTGAGTTTGGATAGTCACAGTACATCTTTC